TTCCCAAAGCAGTCGCCATGTTTGCTTATTTATTCCCGGCTTGGATGAACCAGGATGAAGACTTTACTTCTAACACTGCAATGTGCAGAAAACCCAATTTAATCAATCTTGAAAGCTGCCTATCTGCCTTTTTCTTAAAAACTCTAGAGATGGAAAACACACAGCCTCCATAGGTAGACTGTTCCAATATTGTATTCTGCTTACAATCAAGAAATTTTGCTTTATATTTAAATATTATATTTATATAATATTTAAATTAAATACAATTTATACCAATTTCCTCCTCCTCCTGCTGCTGTTAGCTGACTAAACTGATTACAATGCAAACACTTTTACATTATTGTATAAATAGAAAAAGATATAATCAAACCACTTTAATCTACTCCTAATATTACTAACAAGATATAAGATGTTTATTAATAGCAAATGCTTAGCATTTTTCTAATCTGATAGATAAATAAATAGTTCGGTAGGTAGACAGACACACTATGCCACAGGTCAATTACAGATTATATATAAATTATTATTTATATATATATTTATATATGCCATTTTTCAAAGCATCCTTAAGAGAAAATCAAGTAACATATTAAATGGTTAGACTTGGATAAGTATTTGTGATGATCATCTATGTTAAAAAAAAACCTAGGTCTTAAATTTCTAATTGTACAATACTTGCAAGCTACAGTAACATCTAAAGGGGCAGTTTTACTGCTACCTTATCAAGCACAATATTCATGGATATTTGATATTTATTTTTGAAAGTTTGATCTACTACCCTCCCAGTCTAAAGCCCATTAATTATCCCACACTGAGTATGATCAAGAGGAATAAAGGATGCTGAGAGGCCAAGCTGGGTGTTGTTAAAAGTAAAATGAAAGCACAAGGCAAAAACAAAACCTTAAGGAAACTCAATCTGAAGAACAGCTGCCATATATATATATATACTAGGTAATATACATCTCAGTATCCAAAAACCTGTTCCCTGTGTCCACTTAAAGCCTTCCTTGCTATTCAGTTTCAACCCCTTTTCACTGAATAGATAGGAACTTTTTTCTATTGCAACAGAAACTAGGACAACAAGGTTACTTTTTTATTTTGGAAATTTTTCAATGGTTGAGGTTTATAATAGAAGCACAGGCACAAAAGAGGTTTTCCTAGTGTGGAAGTTGGAAGGGATTCACCTCTATCTATAAATATTAAACAGAAACAGAACTTTGTTAATATTTCTGTCTTCCAGACCACTTATGAAACAAAGCATGAACATTTAGAGAAACAAGAGCAGAGAGAACTGGAGAGAGTAGAGAGAACCTCCACAGAGGTTGAATTGAGTTTAGTCCAGCGTGGTTTTTCCCTGGCTAGCTGTCAGCTCTGCAGGCCAAACTTCAAAGGCATGTTTCTGTAGAAGGATTTGTAAGGGTCCCACACGTATTATTGAACTTTGCCTGCTGACTCCTTTTGCTAAAATCATTTTCCTAGCAGCCCTCAGGGCAGTCTTAAGCAGAGACTGACAGTTGCATTTTGCTGTTATCTTTCAAAGCAAATTTGCATTGCTGAATTTCTGCCTTCTCCTTTTGCATTTCTCTCAGTATTGTTGGAATTCTAACTGCTCAGAACTAAAGTGCCCCTTTTGATTTTCCCCAAATAAATTTAGGATTATTATTTTTTGACCAGTACTGGCAAAAAAAGAAGGACTTGTACACCAATTATAACAATTTTCAATCTGCCTGAGCTTCCAGCTGCAGGACTTGGGTACAGCTAGTCTAAAGAAAAGAAGAAATAAGGGTGAGATGATAGCAGTATTCCAGTATTTGAGGGGCTGCCACAAAGAAGAGAGGGTCAAACTATTCTCCAAAGCCCCAGAGAGTGAGACAAGAAACAATGGAAGGAAATTAATCAAGGAGAGAAGCAACCTGGAATTAAGGAGAAACGTCCTAACAGTGAGGATAATTAACCAGTGGAACAGCTTGCCTTCAGAAATTGTGAGCACTCCATCACTGGAGGTTTTAAAGAAGAGACTGGACAGTCACTTGTCTGAGATGGTATAGGTTCTCCTGCTTGAGCAGGAGGCTGGATTAGAAGATCTCCAAGGTCCCTTCCAGCTCTATTCTATCTAATCCTGTCTGCTGGGAGACTCTCTCTGTAATATTATCTGCCTGCTTGCATGAGAAAACAGTTGGGATGAGTTTGCCTGTCCAGTTGAGTACCAAATATATCTACCTAAGTTGGGCCTGACAACTTAGTTTGCTCTACTGTATTCACTGTAGCTACCTCTGGTTGTGAAAGTTGGGCCTCAAACAAACAGGACAGGAAGAAAATCACAGAAGGCTTCTGTGTATTCTTTGAACAGCACAGGTGACCAACAAGGAAGTACTAGAGCACATTAATATCAGATATGTCACTAGAAGGCAAAATCACAAAGTTGTGTCTCACATACTTTGGCCATGTCATGCAGGGGAATTCACTGGAAAAAGCAATTATGTTGAGTTAGCAGCAAAAGGAAATCAGGCCGCCAAAGAACACAGTGGCTGGAAGCCATCAAAGCTGACACCAGCCAGAGCATAGAACAACTCAAAGAAGATCAGAAGATGTGAGAGACGTGGCCCATGGAATCACCAAGAGTCACACATGACTGAACAGATAACATCATCATCATGTTGGCCACTTAGGGCAGGTGAGGATTCTATGGGCAGATGCATGCTACGAAGCATAGCAGGTGGCAAGGATCCTATACTCCATAGTGGAACTTCTAGGGAGAAAAAGTATTGGGAATAATCTATAGAAGCAATTTGTGACCTTCCCTGCCATCTTTCCCATTGACTTTGCCTGGGGAAAGCAAGCAGGGAACATTGCAAATGACAATCCTGTGACTGTGGGCTATTGCAATTGCCATAAGAGCAAGTCAATTGCCAAACACTCAAATCACGATCACAAGATTGTGGAAGTGCTGCGACAGCTGGAGGGTCAAGGACCAGTCATAAGTACTATTCATTCAGTGCCATTTCTATAACTTTGAATGGTTGCTGAACTAGTGGTTACAAACCAAGAACCATTTGTATATCAGCCTTATCCGGTAGACCAAGCAGGAAATATGACCCAATAAACTCATTCTACTTTATTGTTAAAATACATTAACAAAGCTTTTGTAAATCTAAAAGTATAATTCTCCACCTTCATACCCCCAAAATTAGAGGGGTGTCTTCTGATCCCTTGCCCCATTCATCATCCACCCATGAGCAATACTGCCCCTTATCTGACAATATCTTAGGCAGCATCTATTCCCTCCATCTCCCAAGGTCTTTCCCATATATCATTATACTGTATGTTTGGTCACATTTTCAGGAAAGTGAGTAAGTTTTGAATTTCATAGCTATTGCTATCAGAAACCTCATGGTTTGTATTTAAATTTTAAATACTGTAAAATGTTTAATTTATGATCTTCAATTATTGAGGTCAACTCCTATCTTTCCCCTTTTCATTCATATATATACATACACACATACACATGTATGTATGTATGTACGTATATACCTTGCCTATACAATATTTTAAGCTGTTAACCTTGGGCTGTAATAAATAAATAACAATTACAAAAAATATTTTTTCTTTTTTTACAGTTTACCAGTCCATGTGCAGTGGGTAAATCCCAGTGCAAAATACACACACTTCAGAGGCAATTGGATAATCTCATTCTTTTTTCACTATCAATTTTTTTCCCACAGGAAGTAAAAAAGAACACAAATTGAAAATTGTAGCAAATAAAATGTGTATGTCAATTTTTAAAATTAATTTAATTGCCTTAGTAATCTGAAAGACAGGTAGATGATGAATTTTGAAGCAGAGTAACCAAGAAATATAGAAGCGGGAGCATTCTGTCCATAAGTAATAAATAATAAATGATAGTTCTTGAAATCCATTTTTTTCCTGTACTTGATTTCAAAATAATAAATATTCCTACATATTATGTTATTATGTTTAAATTAGAAGCCTTATTGTTTGGCTCCAAAGTCTAAGTATCATGATTGTTTTAGAATGTTGAGTTATTAAATAGTATGGTTTTAAAAAATACTTTATAAAAGCTGCTCTGAGAATTTCATTATAGGGTAATAAATGTTACAAGAAATAACAAAGTAATGCTTGAAATAAACTAAAATCCACTATTTTTTTACATACAAATATACTTGGGTTGGTATCAAATATGCCATTGTGCATTTATTGATAAATGTAGCTAATTCAGAGTTTTTGTTCAAGGCAGATTTTTATTTTCCACAGACAGAGAGTTCAAAAACTATACACAATATTGGGAACCCCCCCCCCAAATCTATTTCCTCATCTTTCCTTCACTGTCCTTAATACACAAAATAAATCAGGCAGCACAATACCGGTTAAAGTTAGACCATAATAAAGCCCTATTCAGACAAAGTGGTTTCTGATTTTCAGTTGAGAAAGTACTGATGAGGGGATAGCCACATGGTCTACTGATTTATTATTTTACCAGGAAACCCAAATTAATATGAATTATATATAACACATATTAGATATAACTTCTTATGATAACAATTGTAATATATATTATGATGAGTTTTTGTTCTCAGGACATTAATCCTTTCAAGAAGATATTAGTGATGATGGTTAAGTGACAGCAAAACTACCACAATTCAGTTCCCATTATAAGCCCATTTCATATCACAAAAGGCACAGTGATTTGCCTTTCATTTCCAACCATTTGCATGACGTACCTGCAAAATGAAAAATAGACAGTCTGTCCAATACTAATAAAAGAATCCCATGGACTCTGCTGAGAACCAATTTACACAAAAAGCTATCCCTATTCATTGTCTGCCATGGGCTATGTCGCTTTACCCCATTCCATTCTGACTTGGCTGAATAAGATGTGAAGGGAATGAGCACAAAAGAAGAATTTCTTTTTTCCATGCCAATATGTACCAAAGGTTTTCCAAGAACACGTCAAGGCCTTTTTTTTTTTGTTGAACTTTTACCTTGGTACGCTAGCCAAGTAAGTCACAAGTTTCCGAAGATCTTCCTGTCTTATTCTGTCATGATTGCTGCGTGCTGGAAAAGTCAGGATGGGACCTCCTCGTTTATCACGGCCGCCTGTAACAAAGCAAACAATGGCTAGAAAATTAATCAGGAAGCACATTACATCATGTAAGCCAAAGGAAGACGGAAATGACCAAACTGCAGCTTCTTTGTAAAGATCTCCTCTCAGTTTTTTAAAACTTGAGTCATTAGGGCAGCTCTCTGGCTTACTGTATACTATTAACACCTCAACTAGAAACTGGCATTATGTAAAAAAAAAAAAAAGCAATAAAAATGGTGATTATTCTGTATTTTCAAACGGATGGATTTTTCAAAAGTTTAGGAGTGCCCACTAACAGCATTGGTTAGCAAGTACAAATTTCAAACTCTCCAGGTAGATAGATGGTAGATAGATGGTAGATAGATAGATGATAGATAGATAGATAGATAGATAGATAGATAGATAGATAGATAGATAGATAAGAGAGAGAGAGAGAGAGACAGACAGAGAGACAGACAGACAGATAGGCAGACATAGATGAGAGATGAAAGAGAGTGAGGGAGGGATGGATGGATGGATGGATGGATGGATGGATGGATGGACAATTGGGCATTTTCTTAATATATTTGATTTTTAAATGACAATCAATGCTATTAAATCTACAGGCAAGAACTAGTCTAGCAAAATTGAGATTGACTTTTCCCTATGATGATTTGTGAAAAATCACATGAAAACTGAATCCAGGGGAAAAAAATACACTTTTCAAAAATACCAAATGTTGGTTGCTTTGAATCAAAATTTAGAGAACTAAGAGCAGAGGTCAAAACACTTGTAAATTTAAAAAAAATGAACACAAGAAACATTACCCTCACTTTGAATTGGTCTTATGATTTTTTTCAAGGAAAAAGTTAATGTGACTTTTGCATAATGTGTACCAGATATAATATATAATTGCAATATATATTATGATGAGTTTTTGGATTCAGGTCATTATTCCTTTCAAGAAGACATCACTTAACTAGTCATGGTTAAGTGACAGCAGAACAACTACTATGATTCAGTTCACATTACAGGCCCATTTCATATCACAAATGAAAGGACCAAAATTTAATTATGTTAAGGAGACTTTTTATAAAATGGTATAATGTTGGTACTTGTCACCAGAAAAATTGTCTAGAATATATAATGGTATTTCAAATCTTTGCTGGAAACGTGAACAACATGAAGGATATTTTATCATGTTTGGTAGACACGTAAAAGCCAACAAATTTTGGATGCAGATACATACTTTAATCCAGAATAAAATCAGAGGCTTTTATTTTGGGACAAATGAACAGGCAAAGAAAAAAAGCCATAAAACTTTATTAACTGCACCAAGAATAAATTATATATTCAAATATCACAAAATTTGATACTATGCACAATGGAAGAATGGTTGATGAAGATTATGAAATCTGCAGAGATGTTTAAATTAACTTCTTTGATTAGAGAAGACATAAAATCTACATTTATGATTGATGAACCTTTATAGACTTTTTGCATGAAACAGAAAAAGATGCACTTATGACTTGTGGTTTTGATGATTAGAAAAAGATTGGATAATAGAAAAAAAGTGAGGGATTTTTTGTAATCATAGAGTAGGAGATAACTTTATAATCATATTTGTATTTATTGCAAAGGAAATCAGGTCATTATTCTTTCTATTTCTTATCTCTTTTTTGCCCTTTTTCCATTTTCTCATGTTTTCTTTGTTCTCTTTAATTTGTATTAGTTTTTGTTAGCTGTTATATTCTCTTTAAAACATAACTTTTATCCCCCCCCCCAAAGGCAGTGATTTACCATTAATTTCTAGCCATTTGGACAATATAATTGCAAAATGATTGTAAAATTAGAAGTGGAGAATTTGTCCAATGCTAATAAAAATCCCATGAACATGCTGGAAACCAATTTACACAGAAAGCCAGCCCTATTCATTGTCTGCCATGCCATTTATTGTAAATATAATTTGGCCCTCAAACTTTGGAAACCAGAAGTAAAATCTTTCTTAATAAAGAGATTTGTAGGAACCTGAAAGGTAATGACCATATAACAGAATAATTTGACATACAGAGTATTTAACAGGATAAGGTTGATTTAAAAACTTGCCATATATATTTTTTAAAGTACAATCTTTAGGTATACTTAATCTAAAGTTGAAGGTTATATTCATACTTCTGGCTTGGGCTGAACAACAAATCTTACCAGCTGGATGAGCATAATTGTTCACACATAATTAATGTTTAATCTTCATAGCAATTTGTAGCTCTTTAATAAATAGTGAATCCACTTTGCCTTATCAATGAACCAAGGGAGTCTTAATATGCAAACTGAAGTTTTAGTAACCTGGATAATAGAAATTATCCATGGAATAGAAATTATTACCATGGAAAGGGCCAAAAACAGATGTCTGATATTTATATTTATCCTGATGTGCCCTCATTCTTTCTGATTTTTTTACGAAATCCAATTCCTCAAATTTGTCACTCTGAACCTTAAAATCAAAATCTAAAATGGCGGTAGTTAAATGAACTAGGAAACCTTTCTTGATTTACAAATATTAAATCTATAGATATACTAATCCCGGGGGAGGGGGGAATATCAGCCAATTTTTAGAAGACATAACATTCACCTAATCCAATCTAAATAAATAACATTCAAAAGAAATGTTGAAGTATTTTCATTGGTGTATCGTGGTCATGTATCAATTACCAATAGGAAAAAACAAACAAATATGCTACTTTATTACCTATAATTATTAAAGGGCAATACTGCTGCTTTTTATTTAATTCCTCAAACAAGTTTGAAAAATATTATGTTAATAAAGCAAGCAAGGCCATGCATGATTATTAGAGATACACATGAAGATTCCAAATCAAACTGAATTCTTGATAACTACGTAGCTAAGTCAACGTGGTTGGCAATCAGGTAGGAGTAATTCCCCTTTTCCTTTTCCACAATTCTTTTTGAATTCCAGTCTAACTTTCACCCCTGGTACTTTCTAATCTTCCCCATCCAAGTACTAAAAAGGCCTTCATTCTGCTCAGGATGCTGACCACATCTCCCTTAACTTTCTCAGCTGAATAGCATGGAACAAGATCCTCCACTAAGCATAGACTGAGTCTATTTCTGCTACATATCATTTTTACTTCTATCCTTTCATAAATTCATTTAATCTTATTTCCATATTAATCTAATTAATCTGACTTTTAAACCTATTCAAAAATACTTATTTCTGAATGCCATTTGAGAACCAAAAGATAATGCACACCGATTCACAAATTAGTCTGATAGATAATTCTTGAGCATTGCTGAAGTCTAGATTTCACAACTAGCCAGTTAAATAACTGCTTTTCTCAAGTGTCGACAAGAACTCTGTAAGTCAGAGTGATCTACAAAAAAATGAAAGATATAGTATTAATTTGCTTAACGCTTGGATACCAAACCAGTAACTTCTATAATTTATTAAATTTTAAAAACAAAATAAAAACCAAAATCTTCTTTTAGTAATAAGCCAGAGTGTAAAGCAGCTTTCCTTTATGTAAACAGCAGGTACAGAATGATCCAACTCTTCACATTCAGCTCTTGGTATAGTTCGACCTTCCTTAACCAGCAATTTGTTTTTACAATCTAAGAACAGAAAGAACTGTAAAATTAGCTTGAGAGATATTTTAAAATGTTTAAAGTATTCTTGGGAATGTAGATATAGCAGACTGCAAAAAAAAAATTGCCGTTTGTGGAGCAACCATAGGTATTACTCTATTTTAGATCCTTGACCTTTCCAAGTAAAAACATAAACTTTTTTGTACCAAGTGAACACTTTTTTTACACAAGGACAAGGGCTGGCGTGAATGTCAGCAAATGTCATTAACAAACAATTGAATTGGAATGTAATTTTTCTGTCCCTGAGAACGGCTTCCAAATGCAATTGGTGTTATTTTCTTCTTTTTATATATTACAACAGCAGCACATTGCATTTCCTTCCTCTTGGCTCTCATTTTTTTTTTCTTATTAACAATCTCCTTCTAAATATTTCCACAAACAGATGCAGCGGTCAAAGCCAAATTTATGCATCCATTGGCTAACATTCACACAGAGTAATTTCCTAGCACATATCTTTCAGAATGGCTATTTGCCTTCTTACTAATAGTTATATCTTATATGAGTGGAAAATTTGTGATCCTTCAGATATTACTAAACGGCCATGTGACATATGCTTGCTGGAGCTATTTAGAAACAGTGTCATCAATGTGCAGTGAAGTTGTGAAGAGTAATGTAAGATCAGGATAGGCTGCATACTGTATCTGCCTGGGGAAGGAAAGGTAGAAATGTGTAAAACAGTGCAAGTTGAACTGTTTTGACCTTGTCATAGATGTTTTGCGTGTTCAAAGTTCAAACAAGAACTAGGATTCAAGACCATACAGAAACTACAGCTGCTCCTAAATGCAGCAGTACAAGTAGTTATAAATAAAGCCTTAATACATCAGTATAATATTCCTAATAATAATATTTCCCTGGCTACCGATGGGCTTCTGGGTGCAATTCAAGATGCCGGTGCTCACTTATAAAACCCTGCATGGCATAGAACCCGGATATTTGTAGGTCTCCAGTTATCCTTAACTGTCTGCAAAATTCAACAGTTGCTGATTTGGGCCCATATATTAAACAGTATCATCTTACGGAACTCAGGAGATATCAGTCCGGAGGCCCCAAGCCTGCTGGTCTTTTAAAAACCTCTCAAATCTGGATCTTCCTCCAGGAAATGGACCAGGATGGTATATATGAGCTCATTATAATTACGTAGTGAAGTGATATAAAATAATATGCTGTCCCTGGGATAGTGTATTTTATTTTTTTTACAGTCTACTTTTCATATTGTAATTTTTTAACCTTTTCTATCTGCCCAGAGTTGCTTGGTAATGGGCAGCCATATACAGTAAATTGAATAAATAGATAAATAAGAATCAGACCCAAAACAAAACACAACAGCCTTGAATGGTATTATGGGCATGCTAATTGTTCTAACCATGGAAGTTGGGCTGATTACTGACTCCTAATTGAAAAACCTAACGTTTTTTTCTAGCTAAGATTGTAGAGCATCAACATTTGATCCAGTCATATTCAGAATTCAGAACATTCAAGCCATTTCAAGAGTCTCAGGTTGAAACACAGCCAACTTGAAATGTTTAAGTGAGGTTGCTCTGTTCGAAACTCAAAACAAAACATGTAGGTGGGTATATATTGTTGCTGAATATACTTCAGCTTTCATAATAATGGATATAAATTAATTATTAATAATTGATCTATCAGATTTATATAGCCACTCATCTCACAAATGTGATTCTGAGAGGTGCACAATAGATTGTCATTTAAAACATGCAACAGTGAAAAAGAATTAAAGTACAGTTAAATTAAAATAAAAAAATAAAACTGCAGGAGAATGAATTAGCATTTTACATAAAGATAGTTATTGACTAACCATCATTTGTTTAGCAACCATTCAAAGCTGTGATGGTGCTGGAGCCAATGTGCCTTTGAATATCTATATATTCATATATGGATAAAAACCTTTTTTAAAAAATGGACTTTGTTATTATATATGTTGACTGCAGAGAGAATTCCATATGTGCAAAAGTTGGAAATATCTGTCAATTCCCACAATAGAAGAATGGATGGAAAATTTAATGAAGTTGGCAGGAATGGCAAAATCAACTGTTTTAATTAAAGACAAAAATGGATCCAATTTTGTTTCCATTTGAAAACCAACTTTGTATTTGAGACTACCTATAAGAGTAACAGTCTTGGGGACTTCCCATTTCTCTGGCATCCTTAAGGTTGCTGAAGGAAACAATTTTTCAGGGATTTGCTAAATGCCAGTAAGATCAAGGCTATTCTTACTTCAGCAAAATGATGCTCTAAAAGGAGGGTATTACAGCAGAAAAAAAATAATTTTAATTTAATAATTAAATTAGATACTTAATGATAACTGGAGACCTACAAATATCCAGATTCTGTGCCATGCAGGGCTTTAAAAGTGAGCACCTCCATCTTGAACTGTATCTAGAAGTATTGATATTCTGAGTTGGTATAAATATTATATTCCTAGCATAGCTATGTCAGAATTCCTTTCCAACAACCAAACTGAAAATGAACAAACCAAGAAAACTTGACTACTTAGATGTATTAAGGAATGGTCAAGGTTTTTAAACAATACTTTTGCTTTTAAATATGAATATAAATGTACATTCAAATTTAATATCTAACTTTTTTTCTCAGACATTTTTGATGGAGGGAGGATGTAGCTTGTCCATTCTGAAATGTAAGCTGGCTTGCGCCTGGATTATCTGGACCCAACAGCTACCACACTTCTTATCAGTTTTAAAAAGATAGCAGCAAAGGACAGAAGGCAAAATCTTCTAAGAGAGAAGACTTTGAAGAAAATCAAAAGTGTGAAATCAAAGCACAGAGAAAGGAAGGCACTTGAAAGTAAGTACCTATATATGAAAGGAAACAGAGAGCTCATGTGATTTGGGTGGAAAAGGAGAAGCAAAATTCATTTTTGAGCTCAGGCTTTTTGCAGAGATATGCAGGACAGAATATAAAGAGCAACAGCAGATTAGGAACAATGCTCCTCAGGCACCAAATAAACCATAAAGATACATTTCCAAAAAAGCCACTGGTAATTGTTGCCTGTTACTGAGGGGCAGCATAGCTGGCAAGATTGCTATTGAGCTTGCTGTGTCAGAAGTGATTGCCTTTTCAGAAGCAAGACAATTGGACAAGAAAAGTCTCTAGTGTCTTCTCTGCCATCTTTTTAAAAAGACAGTAACCCTTTCATTCTCTACAGCCTCTACGAGTTCAGGCTATATTATCTTTAGGTAACAATTTACACTAGGACAGCATAAAATCTCCTTTCTGAACCAAAAACCCATTTACACTTCAGAACAAAAAATGCAGTATTTTAAATAACTAAGACCAAAAGAAAGTCACTTAATGCAGTTTGCTTTTTTCCAAGTCTATTACAAATCGCAGAAGTAACGTTATTTTTTTTAACCAGGATCTCTAACAAGAGCACAGCTACCAATTGAGCAATACACGAAGGACATGGGAATGGCAATTACATGAATCTTGCTTAGATGAAGCATGACCGATATCTATTAAACTTAAGCATCACTCTATTTTACCATTTTAGGTCAGTTGTCAAGGTAATTCACATAGCTTTTAAGTTGGCAATATCTAGAAGTAAGATATTGAATAATGGATCCAAGCGTAGGATTGGATATAAATTCATAAAGCACATATGCATATGCAAAAATATTCATCTTTTAATTTGTAATTAATGTGTTTGAACATTCAGTTCAGTGTTGATTCCAAAAGCATAAACTTGGAATAGTGTACAATTTTTATGATTTGTCTATTCACCTTCTGGCAAAAAATACAGCATATCCATGTTAATGTGGAAATAAATCTCATTATTTATGCAATTATTACATGCATTCATTCAGTCAATCATTCAGTTTGTACGACTGCCCTTCTCACCTAAGTGACTCTTGGCTCACAAAATTTATAATGTACTAAAATTACCTCTTGCTTTTCCACTTCAAAATGGATAATAATTAAACACAAAATAGAAAAGACAGACAATTAAAGCAGAAAAGCAAATAAATAGTTAGGAATGTAAGCAACAACTATCAGTAAAAACCCATTTGAACAAAAGCCAGTTGGGATAAAAACATATTTACTTGCTGCAATTAAAATGAACTTTCCCAGCCTTATTTTATCTGCAATTTCAGAACCTCAATGGAAACAGCAAATGTCCCTCTGGGGAATAAAGAAGGCCACTACTGAGAATCTTAAAATCTAAGAGGGAAACAATATAATCTGTCAAATAACCTACTCACAAGTCATGTGAGTTTTATAAATCATAACCCACACTTTGAATTATGTCTGGAAACTGCTTTCACTTTAGTCACACTATAATTAAAGGTGTGAGAGTTTGATCATCTTCTGTATTTCATCACCCAACAATGGGGATAATGTGTCTTTAAGACATTTTGATTTTTGTTCAAGAATCAGCATTTACTTGCCTGTTTCATTTTCATTATCTTGCCTCACTGGAATCCTGTTTTCTCTCTTCTGACTTGACTTGTTGACACTTACCCCTTACTTTTTGGTTACGTTATTTCTAATTTTCAACTATTCAGAGCAGAAGGAAGTTTATCTTACAGATATAATGTGAGTGTTGTGCAGTTTTCAATATGTTGCTGTTTTCTGATTGAACTACAGCCCAACCATTTTATTTTAATTTAGAATTGGAACCGAATCTGAGGTTTGCAAAAATTCTAATTAATTTTAGCTGTATGTAGAACCATATGTCATCATGCTAAATTACAGAGAAATACAAAAGTCATTGCACAAGTTTAAAACAATTAATTATTTTCAATCCAGTAACCAAATAAGAAATTGCATGTAGATTGTAATTTAATGTCAGTTTAGGAAGATATATTCTATCCTTGTACCTCATTTTGCTTGACAGTGGGGTAGATAACCAGAGATCTACTAGATGTTTTGAATGACAGTTGTCCTATATATTGCTTCTGACCAAGCTTGGGCTAATGGGAGTTGAAATACAAAAAGTATTTTGGATTCAACAAACAGGATTTTTGTTTGAATCTTACAGTAAGTAATGATGGCAAAGATTGAACATTAGACATTATTCATTTAATCCATATCCATCATTTCACAAAGAAATTCTTCTCAAGGAGGCAAGGAATAAAGGAAAAGAAATTAAAAACAGAGTTTAAAATGTCATTAAAATACATCAGTACAACATGGCTGAAAAGTTATCCTTAGGAGTCTGCTTGTTAAAACATTATTTAAATCCAATCAATAGACCAGTGATGGCGAACCTTTTAGAGACCGAGTGCCCAAAAACTGGCCCATCCCCCGCCCTGCCCCCCCCATCCCCTGCCCTGCCTGCCCACAGGGCCACTCACTGCCTCCAGAGCCTGCTGTAGATTGCCCATCAGCGCTATGGTGATCACACCTTCTGCCCACGCCCTGCAGCATCAACTGTGCATGATGGGGTATGAAGGCAGAGTTTTGTCTATGCTGCCTGGCTGCCATGTCCTTGGCTGCGCTGCTCCACGTGGGCCATGCTCAGGGGTGACTCTCCTTCAGGGGGGCTGCTGGAGAGGAGGGGGTCGCAGGGGAGGCAAGGCTGGGGGAATGGCATGTGTGCCCACAGAGAGGACTCCGAGTGCCACCTCTGGCACCCGTGCCATAGGTTCTCCACCACTGCAGTAGACTATTGTTTCTTAATATCTTGTGAAACTCGGAAACAAAACCATTACATATAACTCTTTATTTCTATACTTTTCTAATTTCAGCTAGCTTTAATTAAACTTCAGAATGGAAATGAAAAGACTGTGAACTTACCTGAAACAAAGGCCACCTTTTCCTTTAGTATGGGAAGAACATCAGCAGCTTTCAAGCCGTCATTGCGGAAAGATCCTGCAAAAAAATGAAGGAAAGAAAAAAAAAAGAGCAATATTCAGTTAAAAGGTATTGACCTTCTGACCTTGTTTATTTCATCTACCAAATCAATAGAAAGTGAATTTCTACAGTTTGGGGTTGAAAAGATGTGATGACCTAAAAATTTGACCCATTGCAATTTTCTTCTAAAGAAAAATCTACCCTTTTATCCATGAAGCATTCTGCATGATCAGGCTACAGTATGAAATTAGTGTGGGTTTTTTTTTCCATTTTCCATCCTTCTGTTACAGTATCTAGACCAGGGGTAGGCAACCCAAAACACTCAAAGAGCCACTTGGACCCGTTTCCCACCAAAAACAAAACACCGGGAGCCGCAAAACCCTTTTGATATCTAAAATGAAGATAACACTGCATATATCCTTTTTTACCTTTATTATAGGTGTGTGTGTGTGTGTGTGTTTGTTTGTGTATGTATGTGTGTGTGTGTATGTATATATACACACATACACACACACACACACACACACACACACACACACACACACACACACATTAAAAATAAAAGTAAAAATATTACTCTTGGGAATATCCATACTATTAAAACAATGATCACCAAGAGAATGCTTTAAGAGAATAAAATTACATACACACACAGGTAAAAAAAGGATATATGCAGTGTTATCTTCATTTTAGATGTCAAAAGGGTCTCTCTCTCTCTCTCTCTCTCCCTCCCTCCCTATCTGCCCTTGGTCTACCACTCCTCTTCCCCCCACACACACACTCTCTCTCTCCCTCCCTCTCTCCCTCCCTCTCTCTTTCTCTCCCCTCTCCTATCTGCTGCTCACCTGGCAAGCTTCAAGCTGTTGTCCAACAAGCTCAGGGGTAGAAAACCTCGTCTCTTTTATGACTCATGGACTCCAACTCCCAGAATTCCTGAGTCAGCCTAGCTGGGCTAGCTAGCTCTCTCCTGCCCTTCCTGCTTCCTGCAGAGACGCAGCAAAGGGAGGAGCTCCGCCCAGTAAGCTTTTCGACTCCTGAGTGCACTCTCTTTTACACACACACACACACAGAGAGAGAGAGAGAGAGAGAGAGAGAGAGAGAGAGAGAAGCAGGGAAGCGCAATTGCCTCTCTCTGTCTCTGTCTCTCTCTGCAAAGGCAGAGGAGGCTGGGAGCCACAGGGGAAGGCTCAAAGAGCCGCATGCAGCTCTGGAGCCGCAGGTTGCCGACCTGTGATCTAGACTGAAATATAAGCAGTAGAGAGTGAAGATGCCTTCAGTTCAAGACTGATTCCTGGTGATTGTATCCATGTAATTTTATTACCAGGAAGTGGCAGATCATTCTTCTCTAAGGTTTTTGTTTTTTTAAATATCACTTAAATCTAAAACTCTGGTGATATCTCATTCAAGGTTAATCCTGTTTTAACTTCTAAAATCAGTAAAAGTCCGTGAGGTGTTGTCCATCTGCTGAGGTAGCATGATGGCAGCTTCATTAAAAAATGAAAACAATTTCAAAAATATAAAATTATATATTAAAGTTACTAGCGGTCGTTAGGACTTCCCCAATTGTATGCTTTTATATCAACACGCTGAAATTCCAGATTTGAGAATATGAGAGATAAACCTTGACCCTATGCATACATCCATGAAAATGCTGTTCTCCTTTTAATATCCATATTCTCCAGCAATTAATTAAGTTGGGTTTGCAGGGAAGCAAGGAATGTATGTAGGTAAGTGCTCTATATAGGAAGACTGGCCTGCCTGTATCCTGTGTTAAAAACAAAGATCAGAGATCAAATCATTTCTTTCTGAGAACTATCTGAATTTCATTCCCCCGAAGAGCTTCTTTGGACCATATCACTTAGCTTCAGAGTATTCTCACTGCAGTACAGGTAGTCCTCAACTTACAACCACAATTGAGCTCAAAATTTCTGTTGTGAAGTGAGACATTTGTTAAGTGAGTTTTGCCTCCTTTTATGACCTTTTTTTGCCTCAGTTGTTAAGTGAATCACTGCAGTTGATAAGTGAGTAACCCGGCTGTTAGGTGAACCTGGCTTCCCCATTAACTTTGCTTGTCAGAAGGTCACAAAAGGTGATCACATGACTTTGGGAACAGCAACAGTCATAAATATAAATCAGTTGCCAAGAATCTGAATTTTGATCACATGATCGTGGGAATGCTGCAAAGACTGTAACTGTGAAAAATGGTCATAAGTCACTTTTTTCAGTGCCGCTGTAACTTTGAACAGTCACTAAATGAACTCTTGTATGTTGAGGACTGCCTGTACAAGTAGAAGATTGCATAAATGCCACAAATAAGAACTATGGTTTATGATTTCTAACATTTCAAACATGATCATCAAAAGAAAGTAAAATGCCATATGGTAGTTACTACTGATTGGGCCTTGCCGGCTTCCTCTTCATTCATTCTTAAATAGCAATTAGACCAATAAATCATCACTTTATCCTCCCTATAAACCCCAATGAAGTTCAGGTTTCCTGTCTTTCCCAAACATGATGCATATCTGCTTTCTGCCAAGGTGCATGAGTCATTTCTAGGCTGACTTGAGGCAGCTCAGCTATTGCTTAAGAGTTGAGGGAGGACAAAATGTTGGTTGCCATGGTACAGTGAGGAGTGAATGCAATTCACGTTCCCCCTACACAATAATAACTATTCAGCTGAAATTCCACCTACACCATCAGGACAACAACGGTTATGGCAGACAAAGGAACCTATAATTTCCTAGCCCCAATGCTAAGCAATGCTGGGCAGAAGATACGCAACTGGATTAGAAGCCATTTTGTTCACTAGCCTGGAATGAAATCTTTTCATCTTAAGAGTTCCCCAACAGTAGCTAACCTCTGCTTATTTTCTGTTTCTAAACAGAAGTATTACTGCAGAGAAGGGGGGGGGGGGGAAATCACACTCTTCCCAAATATGCTTGCTCTATGTTTATACAATTCCTTTAAAAAAGATACATTTTCCACAATTTTTAAAGCTTACAACAGTTCATTTAGTGACCGTTCAAAGTTGCAATGGCACTGGAAAAAGTGACTTATGACCATTATTCAAACTTAGGACCAGGCCTTTTTTTCTCGTAGAACGCACAGAACGGTGTTCCGGCACCTTTTTTTTAATGGATTTTTTTCAACTTTTGCATGAGGTGTGCTACTCCCTCTATTGGCTTTCGAAAGCCAATAGGAATTGCTGCTGAGCGCGCCAAAAGACCCAGCCAGCAAACGTTGCACGTGCAAGTTGTCTGCAGCAAAGGCAAGTTGGCAGGAACTCTGCACCCCTCCCTGCTGCCCAACTACACCATCTCCTAGTTAGTCCCGAAGATACCTGGAGAAGACTGGAGCAGCGATGCCACGGTAAGTTTCTCTTGATCTTCAGCCCTGCTAGGGCAATAATGGTTGTGGGCACAGGAGGCAGGGGTGGCAGGGCTGCTGTGGGCAGTGGTGCTGGTGGGGCGGCAGTGGGTGGAGTGCATTGGTGGTGGGCTGCCCCCCCCCGGGGCTGGAACCGTCACAGCTGCTGCTTTGAGAGCTGTGAGGCCCGCTCTACACAGTGGTGTGGTGATGCTGGCAGGTCGGCGGCAGGTGGGGGCACAGGGTGCATCGGTGGTGGGCTGCCCCCAGAGCTGGAGCCAGCACAGCTGTTTTGGCAGCCACGAGACCTGCTCTAGATGGCAGGGCGGAGGCACTGGTAGCACGGCTGTGGGCGGGGGCGCAGGGTGCATCAACGGCATGGGGCGGCGGTGCTGGCGGTGCGGCTGCAGGGGGGGTACGGGGTGCATTGGCGGCGGGCTGCCCCCTCTATACGGCGGGACGGCGGTGCTGGCAGAATGGCTGCGATTATAAATGACTGAAGAAAGGGCAAGAACACTTTGGAGAAAGAAATCAGTGTAGATAGAAAGATGGAAAATCAGAGGCAGGCATGATTTGCCTAAAGTTTGAAGAGGATAAAGATCTATCCTTTGAGAAGGAACAGTGATATATTTTATAGAACCATAGACTTTGAAGGGACCTTGGAGGTCTTCTAATCCAATCCCTGGCTCAAGGCAGAAGACTTACACCATCCCAGTCCAATGGCTGTCCAGTCTATTTTTTTTAAACCACCAGTGATGGAGCACCCACAACCCCAGAAGGGAAGATATTCCACTGATTAATTGCTGTCGTCTTCTTTCTTCAATGATGGATCTCCCTGTAACAAGATTCCACCCTTACTTCTTGTCCTGCCCTCTGGTCCCTAGAGAATAACATAATCCCCACTTCTTTGTGATGGCCCTTCAAGTACTATTTTGTGCCCCTGATCCTCCTGAAGAGGAGGAACCTGGTCCTTCATAGGGAGAACAGCCCACTTGGCCTGATAGGTGGAAGAATGAATCAAGCTGTTCTTGGATTTTCTTGAAGAACATAAGAAAATAAGTTTTCCCCCAAGATGGAAAGAGTAGGAATGAAGAAACTGTCTCCTCTGAGGGATGGTGATGAGGACGAGAAATCTCATTCAAAATGTGTTTTCTTCGTGGAGTTTTACTTCACAAAAAAGATTCAAAAAAAGGATCCTCCCATTGACCCAAGTATATTTTATACAAAATTGAAAGAGTCAATTGAAAAAAGATTGCTTGATAGCAAAGACGATGAGTTGGCATATTGGTCTCGCGTACTTGATCAGAAACATTGGCCTAAAGATGTTAATACTCAACTGACATTTGGAGAAGTGGAAATTAGAAACTTGTCTATCAGACTGCAACTAAATGAAAGAGAAATGATTTGTGGATTTTGTGAATATATTCTTGAAAAGACATATCCAGAAAAACTGTTGCATTTGATACGGACTCTGAATACCATTCCCATTTCTTCAAGTGAATGTGAATGTGGGTTTTCACAGATGAATCTAATTGCCACCCCAACAAGAGCTTTGTTGAAGACTAAGACAATTTCAGCACTTTTGTTCATCAAACTTGTCAGACCACCTCAGAGACTTTTCAATCCTTCAAAGTATGTTGATCTGTGGTTACTCAAAGGATGACATTCGGCCATAGATACTAAGAGCAAGGAAAAGAGTCGAGAAGATTTGCCGGACGAGAATTGGAAAAAACTTTGGAATTTACTATGAACATTTGCCTTTAATACAATAAATTAAATTTATGTTAAGAATTGAATATATTTGTTTTAATTATATAAATAAATATATAAATAAAATTATATAAATAAAAGATTAACAAGATGAGAGTTCCAGCACCTTTTTTTTTTAGAAAAAAAAAACACTGCTTAGGACTGTTGCAGTAGCCTATGGTCACATGATCAAAAGTCAGATGCTTGGCATCTAGTTCATACTTGTGACCATTGCAGTGTCCCAGGGTCATGTGACCACCTTTTGCAACCTTCTGACAAGCAAAGTCAATGGGGAAGTCAGGTTCATTTAACAATCGTATTATTAATTTATCAACTGCAACGATTTACTTGACTAAGGAAGGAAAGCTTAAATGGAAATCAGTAATACAAGCGTACAACCAACTGTGATCACTGAAATCACAACAAAGGAAATAGTTTGGTAAAGATACTTGGCTTCATTTTTGGATTTGCAAATATGAATGTACAGACCATTTTACATCACAGTATCTCCATTTGTTGGCCAGCTGTTTCTAATCCCATTTCTTCCTGTACAGCAATTGCATTTTAAACAAGAGACATGTCTGGAAGTTTCTCACCAAGTACTGCATACATGCATATGTTTTGCACAATAAATTTCCCACCTACCTTTCCTGCCCTTGCTTATCCTCAGCAAGGATTTTGCAGAGCACAAGCTGCTCTTATTCAAGAATAAATCAGACAAACGGAGACTCTTACTTTCATTGTCAAATGCTAAAATTCAGTCTTTGTACAGCCTTTGTACAAAATGGAACCATATCTATCTGGCTCTCTATGTCTCTTAACCCTCTTAAAAATATTTTAAAATATTAATGAACTTAATTTCACCTGGCTACTCTACGCACACATTTCTTCAGTGTATACCTTTGTAATATTTCCTGTTACTGCATCAGCACATTCAAAGTATGTGAAATATCTTATTCCTCTCCCTACTTTGAGTGGAAAACCTGCCCTGTCATTCTGGTAGGAAAGCCATTTTTAATCTCAGTCTGGCATTTCATTAATTTATCATTCTAACAACGGAGGAACAAAAGGGAAGTGTATTATGTATTAAGGCGCAACTTGGCTTATCTAAGGATGACAGTTTAGCTAAATGAATTCATGAAAGTTGACAAAATGGAGAGTAATGAATTTGCCAAGGGGAGATTTAAAAATGAGGTAAAGAAATACCAGAGGGCAAACTCCTATAAAAATACCCATTCTAAAATTGTCTGATTCTCAGGATTCCTTCTTTAATGGTGCAACATAGAGGAAGGATCACCTGGTGTCCTACTTTCCATCTGCATTCTTCTACTGTTATGTACACAAAAGAATTCAAGCTGGAATAATAAAAGTTCTTTTCCTTTGTCCATGCCAATTATCCATAGTGTATTGTTTCCAGTGGTCCTGGAAAGTTCTGCAGTTTTGATATAGATATGTAAAAAAACAATAATTTACTAGATTTAATATGGCTGCCCATTCCAAATGTAAACAATTTTTAGAAACGTTTTTTCATTGAAGAAATTTTTAACAAAGTAAAAACTGTAAGAGAAAATGAAAAAATTGCCTGCCTTCCCCCACCCCCAACACACATTTTTCATCACTTAATTGTTTTGATATTTTCTGATGTTCAATAAACAGACATATTTGCTAACTAGACTTAGTGGCATGTGTCCTTATTCAAATTTAAGTGCAGGGATTCACTGGGACAGTGCTAGGTCCCTACTAGACTGGAATTTACCATAGTGATTTTCCATATGGCAGCAACAAAACTAAACAAGTTGTATAGCCAACTCATGCCACTTGTGTCACCTTGCCCATTCTTCTCCTCTGCTTTGGAAAGGCAGACCTAAATATGACTATAGCTGCATTCAGTTTGTCCCCAAGTGGAAATTCAATAGGGCAAAATCACATAGCATGTCTGAGGATAGAGCTTGATTAGCAGCTGCTATATCTTTTCTTTTCTTGGCTATCTTCATGAAACACCTTTGCCACTTATATTATTCAATAAGCCCACTTTTCTGATTTTTATCATCATCATTAGATCCTGTACAGAGCATAATGGTCAGCAAGTGATTTTCAGCAGTTTCAATCATTCGCACCATCTTCGGCTTTGTCCCAAGAGACATTAATAATCTTAAGATCTTCCTTAAGTGTTTGGTGCCAAGTTTTCCAAGGCCAGCTGTTATGTCCCGAGCCTTTGCAAACGGCTCGGGCGTTTGCAGGCAGTCCCGGGCAGGTGCAAAGCTGCCCGGGACCAGACAGGCTGTCGCCAGCGCCGGGCGCATGCGCGGGTGCTGGCGCGGGAAAAGTAACCCATTTACCCGGGAGTTGCCTATATAAGGGGCTGCGAGGCGTTTGGGCTGAGCTGAAGCCATCTTCCTGTAAGCTGAACGCTGAATAAATGAACTGAGAACTCCAGCTGCTTCTCGTGTCTGTTTTCCCGCCACGGACTCAACACTGGCGACGAGGATGGGATGCCTTGCACTACCTGGAAAGGAAGAAGTGTAAGCTTACCCAAGGAGTCCTGAGCGGCGAAAGAGGAACGGCGTCGACTCGGCAGCTGCCCGCCAATCCGGTGCGCATTCGGGGGTAGGCTGGCTGATAGACCCGTCTCCTGAAGATCCGAAGATGGCGAAAATCGGAAGGCTTTCGGAATTCGACGTCTCACATCCAGAGCGGTGGGAGTCCTACGTATCCAGAATGGAGAACTACTTCAAGGCAAACCAAGTGAGGGAAGATAGCTTGAAGGCGGCCACCCTGCTTTGCGTTTGCGGCCAAGACGCCTTCGAAATCGCAGAAAACCTTGCAGCACCTGTCCCAGTAGAGTCTGTAAGCTACGCAGACCTGAAGAAGCTGCTGAAGGAGCACTTCCACCCCAAGGTGTCCGTTATCTCATGGCGCCACACCTTCGAACAAAGGGATCAACGGTCCGGTGAGTCAGCCAAGGAATACATCGCCGCGTTACGGAAGGCCGCCAAGCCCTGCGAGTTCAAGGACCTCGAGGAACGACTGAGGGACCGATTCGTGTGCGGGTTAAGGCATCGCGAGCTACAACAGAGACTTTTCGCAAAGGAAGAATTATCCTTCCAAGACGCCTTAAGGGAAGTCACCGCAGAAGAAGCAGCAGGCGGCGCCGTCAAAAACATGCGGCCGATCAGAAACAGTGCAGAGGGTGCGTCCGTGCACCAGGAAGACGTCCGACGAAACTCCGAGGAGGATCCGGACGAGGAAGTCGACCGTCTACACCCCGCGAAGGAAGAGAACCAGAAGGGAAGCTCTTCGGCTCCGCTCAAGTGCATCGGCTGTGGAGGTCGCCACAGGAGAACCGACTGCAAGTTCCGCTCCGCTACCTGCCGGGCATGCGGTAAACAAGGGCACATTGCAGCTGTGTGCCTGGGCCGACGAAAGGCACAACCCCAAGAAGAACGCCTGAAGGGTACCAGATTCCCCAGCCAGAATAGGGTAGGTTTTTGCGCTTCGCGAAGAAGCATCTGTAGAACAGGCACACACAAGCCCATGAAGAAAAAGCTGTCACTCAACGTGAAGCTACAAGGGGTTCCATTATCTATGGAACTAGACACAGGGTCTGCCCTGTCCATCATTTCATTGCATACATTTAGGAAGATTTGTTCCAGAAGTGGGTCTAAGGCCAAGTTAAGGCCTTCTGATATTGTATTAACAGATTTTCAGAACTCAAGAGTGTGTGTTAAGGGGGAGGCCACCCTTAACGTGCAATACAAGAGTTTTGAAGGTCCACTAGACTTATTAGTAGTAGGGGGTGAACGAACGAGTCTCATAGGACTCGATTGGTTTGAGGCCCTGGGGATACACGTCACAGGACTCAACAGCTTACAAACACTCGACCTACAGGAAGTCTGCAAAGAATTTGCAGATGTTTTCAGCCCCCAGCTGGGCACATTCAAAGGACCACCTGTGTCCTTAAAGCTAGACCCCACTGTCACTCCCATTAGGATTAAAGCAAGAAGGGTCCCTTTTGCTTTAAAAAGTAAGATTGACACTGAATTAGACAAACTAATCCAACAGGGAATCCTAGAACCTGTTGATTCCAGCCCGTGGGAGACCCCCATTGTCACGCCTCTAAAGGCAAATGGGGACATTCGCATTTGTGCTGATTACAAATGCACACTCAATAAGGCATTGCAGCAACATGCCTATCCTGTTCCTGTGGTCAGTCACATCCTGGCCTCTCTCAAGGGGGGGCGTGTTTTTGCAAAGCTTGACCTAGCTCAAGCATATCAACAGCTGCCTGTTGATGATGATGCTGCCATAGCTCAGACCATTGTGACCCACAGGGGAGCCTTTAAAGTAAAAAGGCTACAGTTTGGAGTGAATGTCGCTCCTGGGATTTTCCAAAGCGTAATGGAAAACACACTACGAGGTATACCAGGGGTCTGCCCCTACTTTGACGATGTCTTGATTGCAGGAGACTCCACACACATTCTAGCTGAAAGGCTTAGGGCTGTCCTGTTAAGATTCAGGAAATCAGGCCTCAAGCTCAGAAAAGACAAATGCCAGATTGGGGTGCCTTCTACTGAATTTCTGGGATTCAAAATTGATGCTGCTGGGATTCATCCTGCTGAATCCAAACTAACTGCTATTTTAGATGCACCCAGGCCAAAGTCTAAGGCCGAACTTCAGGCCTTCCTAGGCCTCCTGAATTTCTACAATTCTTTTCTTCCACATAAAGCTAGTGTAGCTGAGCCTCTTCACAGGCTACTAGACAAACAGGCTGTGTGGCTGTGGTCACAAGCGCATGAGGCTTGCTTTAAAGAAGTCAAGGCCTTGCTCACTTCTAACAGTGTTCTTGCACATTTCAACGAGTCTCTCCCTGTGTGCATCGCTTGTGATGCGTCCCCCTACGGGGTTGGAGCTGTCCTGAGTCACCTCAGGTCTGATGGAACTCAGGTTCCTATTGCATACTACTCCAGAACACTGTCTTCTGCCGAGCGCAACTACGCTCAGATAGACAGGGAGGCTCTGGCTGTTGTTGCTGGAATTAAAAAATTCCACGATTTTCTATATGGCAGGCATTTCACGGTCTTCACTGACCATAAGCCTCTGCTGGGACTGTTTACCACACGTAAGCAGACTCCCCACATCATTTCCCCTAGAATGCTTAGGTGGTCTATTTTCTTGTCTGCATATGATTTTTCATTACTCCACAAGCCTGGGAAAGAAATGGGCCATGCTGATGGCCTCAGTAGATTGCCTCTGCCAGTAGTAGAAGCTGACCCCGCGCCAGCTGTCAACATTCTATCAATCCAAGCCTTGCCCGAGCTCCCTCTTAGTGCCAGGGATGTTACCGCTGAAACAGGTACAGATCACACACTTTCACGTGTCCGCTCCTGGGTCCTGTCCGGGTGGCCTGAGCACTGCCCTAGTCCTGAGTTTCAGAGTTTCTGGTCCAAAAGGAACGAACTGTCCCTTTCTCAGGGTTGTCTGCTTTGGGGAAACAGAGTTGTCATTCCCACCTCAATGAGGACTAGGGTCTTAGAATCCCTCCACGAGGGTCATCCTGGCATTGTTCGTATGAAGGCTCTTGCACGAAGCCACTTGTGGTGGCCTGGTTTAGATAAAGATATTGAGGCTAAGGTACACGCATGTCACCTGTGCCAACGATCTCGCCCAGAGATGCCCCAAGCTCCTGTGCATAGATGGGAGGAAACACAGTCCCCATGGTCTAGGGTGCACATTGACTACGCTGGGCCCTTTCAGGGCCAGTTCTTCTTGGTCCTTGTTGACAGCCATTCAAAATGGCTTGAGGTTGTGCCTGTCTCATCCACCACCACTGCAAAGACTATTCAGGTACTGAGGGGGATTTTTGCTGCACACGGGCTGCCAGATGTCATTGTGTCCGACAACGGCCCTCAATTCACCTCCTCCGAATTCCAAGCTTTCTTACAGGCAAACCTGATTCGTCATGCCACATCTGCACCTTTTCACCCGTCCACCAACGGTATGGCTGAACGTATGGTGCGCATCGCAAAGGACGCCTTGAAGAGACTCACCTACGGGGACTGGCATCACAGGTTGGCTGACTTTCTCCTTTCTTATCGCACCACACCGTCCACTTCTACAGGGAGAAGTCCAGCTGAACTTCGTTGGGGGCGCCAACTTACTACTAGACTTGACCGGTTGCATCCGGACAGACTGCCTTCATCTACCTCACATCCTAGGGCACCTAGACAACTACTTGTGGGTGCCCCGGTTTGGGCTCGCAATTACGGGCCTGGTCATACATGGGTCCCCGCTTCTGTGTCCAGGATCACAGGTCCTCTCTCCTACGAGGTTGCCCTGGACAACGGTCGTGTTCTGCGTTGGCACATTGACCAACTTCGCTCTAGGCGAGACTTTTCTGCTGAGACTCCTGGGTCTTTTCCAGGGGGGGAGGGGGACCCTTTGGAGCAAAGGGAAGGGCAAGAGCTACTGCCCATCTCCACTGAGGGAGCCACAAACGGCT